TAGTACATTATGCGTTAACTCGCATAAAACAAAATCTTTTTTTTTTTACCATTAGACTTTGTTTTCATTCATAATTTTACACCCCTTAAAAATAACTTTGCAAAATTTTCCAAAACACTTCAATATTTTTTTATATATATGTGTTTTCAGAAATTAATTACATACATTATTTCTTAAATCTATAAAATATTCATATCTACATCATATTTTTATATGATTTCTGGTTTAATTTTTTATTTAGTGAGTATAACTTTGAATTAGATCAAAATAATTCTTTCAAAATATTGTTTGTTTCAAAATTCAGATATAGCTCCGTACAAAGTTTAGTTAAATCGTTGATATAACTATATATATATATATTTGAGTACTATCTTATTCTTGGAGGATATTTGAAAAAACAAATAGGACCATAATGTTAATTAGATAAATGTATGGGTAGATGTTAAAACTTATTAAAAGAAGAGGGGCAGAGTGAATGGAACCATTTCACTAAAGTGAAGAAATAGAATCCAGCAAAAGTTAAATACTGTAAGATTTTTATCATTTTCCGCGTCTGTCAAACTTGTAATACACACTACACAGTAATTACGTGGCGTGATTATATTGGTTACAAATATATGTAGGCTCTATTTATGAAGTTGCCCCTTTTACTAGTTGACAAATTACTGAAAAGATACGATGTACACAGTAGGATAGGACTCTTGTCCGAGAGAGAAGCCAAAAAAAAAAAAATTTACAAAAAAAATTAAAAAATTTAAACGTGAAAAAGACATTTTAACGGGACGGTCCAAAATTTTTCTACTGTATATATAAATATTTTGTAAACTTTTCTCCATAATATATATAAGAGACAATTACCAAAAAAAAGTTATTTAAAAAGTAAATTTAAATCATTTTCTTAAGAAAAAAATCAAATAAAAAATATAGTATCATTTTTGTGTATAAGTTTTTTATATTCTTTTTACCACGGTTTAAGAATTAAGTTCTCGATTTTTTTTTCTTTCTTTACCATAATAGATTAATATGGTAATTGTAAGAGTCCCAAAATATTATGGTTTGCGCCTAAGATTAGAGACTAATAATCTAAAATTGTTTAGACTTACGAGTTAAGCTAAAGTTTGACCGTTACCGACTTCTAGTTTCATGTTTGTGTTTTATATATGCTTACGCTAATTAACAACTATGAATTTATTTAGACCTTTGTGATAACCAAGATTTGATACAATATTATATTGGATGTGTTTTATTTTATGGGCTACTATATAGTATATACTCAATAAATAAAACGAGCTTTATCGAGTATAAATAATTGAAGCAAGGCTGCAAGAAACATCATCCATCAGTTGGCGAAGGGGAAGATAGAGTTTTCCTACAAAGTGGCATTATAAAAATAAAAATACGAATGCTCTTTTTCGAGAAGATTCAACCATGACCCTTCCCAACTTGTTAGAAAAACTCTTTTTTGTTTCACATCATTGTAGAGATTTGTCTTTATTTCATTAAAGGGTCATCTAAATTTTAATTATAATTTTATACTAAACTTCTTAATTCATTCTTAACTCAGAACTAATTTTCATTAAATTTTAATTATTATTAGATTATTTTAATTAAATTATTAAATAAAAAAATATGTATAGTTTAAAAAAATCATGTGAAATTGTGTTAAAATAACATTGTTTTATAAATCCGAAGAAAAATCGACTTGAACAGGATGATGGAGATGTCTATTCACTAAGCAGAGATTATTTCTAGTATATAAACATGGGTTAAAAATTCCCCGATTATGGAAAGGATCGGACGAGATCACCATATTGTGTACTTGCTTGAGTTAGTTGAGCAGTGTAACGAGAGAGCACGTATAGTTACTGATGTTTTGTCAATGAGAGCGTCAGAACGAGTTGAGCTGTGGAATGGATACCTTGCCATGCATGATAGCGACCATTACCTTATAAATAATCCTCTGATCTAGAAATGTAATCTAATAAGAAGATAGTCAAAATGTAATTGAATTGGCAGGATAGATAGGAGGTTTTGCAAAGTATTAGACCAATCTATGGTGATCCAAGATTCGAGACGTCTACATGGACAAACAAATAAGACTTGATCCATTTGATTCATTCGTTTCTCCAAAAAAAGAAAAGATAAATCTGAGGTTGTCCCCAACTTCTATATGTACTCGTGTTCTCCTTACCATACAATGCAACCAGAATGTACTTATACTTTCTCACACTAGTAGTAGTATTAGACTCATAAATCTTCGAATTAATATTATTAGTTTTCATAAGATAATTAATATTGGACAAACATAAAAATAAGTAACGCTTCACTATTATCATTAAAAGTCTCTTAAGCCTATCTTAAGGAGGGGGTTAAGTGGTACGATTAAAAACAAAAAAAAATGTTGGAAACCTTAATTAAAAGATGTCTAAATAAGTATCCTAAAAAGCAAAACAAGAAATTGCCAAAAGAAAACTCTCAAAATTATTGGTAGCCCTAATTCTTTGCTTGGAGAGTTTGTATTTCCGGTCATGTTAATTGGCGGGCCGTAAAACTTGTTGCATTCACTCACACATACGTCTTTGGTACCGTAACAGTTGCTGATAATTTTTAGGCAGCAAAAACAGTAGTGCATATCCGACGTGCATATTTGTCGGTAACACGTTATGTTCGTTAGGTTTATCTTGTTATCTTCGATAGCCTCGTCCACGTTTCTACGTTAAACTTGTTTGATGCATGTCTGAATCTTGCTAGAGATTTTTTTTTTTTTTTGGGTTGGAAATAGTTAAATTGCTAGAGATTTGATGATTGAAGAATAAGTAAATAGTACATACTGATATTGATGTGAGAAATAATTTTAAGTATAAAGTTTTGTGAAGTTTATAGTTTTAAAATTTTTAAAACTGTTATTAATTACATTTTGATGTCGAACATTCCTTTATTTGATTAATTTCACTAAGAAAAATCATATCTCTAGCTATTGAAACTATTCAATGTCCCATATAGGCATATATGCAACTCCAAAACACAACTACAGACTAGAGTACTTGGAAACAGTCAATGACCTTTTAATATAGTGTGTAGTACTTACGTACATGTACAGCTTTGTGACCGGCGGATCACTCTAAAGCAATAGTAAAAGTAAAACAAGACGACGTACGTACACACTTTGTGACCATGAAGCTAGCTAGATTCCATCATGAGAAGCTAATAATTCAGACAAAGTTACACACGAAACCTAATAAGTCCATTGCTTTTGAAAACAAGACTCCTCTCTAAAAAGGTTATATAGACAAGGTTCTACATGAAATCTAACTAGCTAGTTCATTATTACTTGTAAAAACATAAAAACAACTGTTCGCTTCGCGAGTAATCTGCTAAAACTTTACATTGCACTATTTCTGGACACACAAATGTTAAAGAAGAATTAACATAATAAACTTCTAATAAAAATTAGGAAGTACGACACATATATGTCGATCGATTAATTTGTTCATATTGTTACCGGACGCATTATATATACTAGATTATATTGTCTAGTTATCTTTCCTAGAAAGGAAACTAGTTTTTATTTTTATTTTTTTGTCGCCGAAAGGAAACTAGTTTTGAAAGATTGTACATTTCATTAGCTTTTTATGAGAGAATCCTTTTACGTATCTCAAAGTGACGTTTATTGAGTATCATCTGCGCGCGAGTGGTCCAGAGTTGAATTTTACCTTTGTTCTTAGCATTCTTTTTTTCTATTTTATAATATTAATCTAATTAAAGTGCATATATAGTTGTCTAATCTTTATGAGAAAGATCTCACGGCCAGTTCCAAGTCACTATAATGTTGCTGAGGATAATTATATTATATATATATATATATATATATAATACATAGTAACTAGTAAGCATAGAGAAATATTACATTGTTATGGTATTTATATTTAAGAGATAATTATGTATATAATGTCATTTAGACAATGACCCATATGATATATAGATGTAGAAAAAACCTGTCGGTTGGACATGTGCGAGAGACCAAGACCAACCAATATAAGTGTAAAGTGATGTCCTAACGGCATGGAGAAAATTTGAGTTCTCTATTCTACTAATTAATCTTTTCTTCTTTGACTTTTTTAGTTAGAGCCATTTTTTAAAAAAACATGTATTAACGCAAAATATTATATATCTAAATTTCATATCATTGGCTCCATTTAAATTAAAATCATTAATTTGGACTTCAATACAATTTTCTTAAAAAATCTATACCTATCAGGTAACCACAAAAAATATGTACAAAAAGATATAACATAATAGAGAAACACAGGTTCTAGGAGAAGGAAATGGACTTCAATTCATAATTCATAGTTTTGGATACAGAATCAAATCAAAATTATAAACAAGCTAGAAAATGTAAACTAAAGAACATTGAAATCTGATAATACACATGCTAATATGCTATTGCTAATCTAGTGTTTAATTTCAAATTATCAATCAAAGCCCTCCACGTGTTTTCTAAATTTTTGTTTTTTAAAACAAGATTTCTTTTGAATAGATGGACCCATATTATTAAAAAATTTCACAATGAAATTTTATATTATTAAAATTCAATTTAAATTTAAAAGTATTAATTTATTTTCCATTAATAATGAATTATAAAATATATCATATTAAATTCAATTTGTTAAATTCAAAAAATATTAATTGATTACCCATTAATAATGGATATATATATGCATATCAGAGAAAAAAATCAAAATATTATGTCAATATATCTATACAAGAGACTAATATATATACAAAAAGTCTTAATTAAACTGAGATAATAATAAGTTTTTTTTCTTCTCATAATAAGTCACCCACCCAAAAGAAATGAAATAATAAAAATATCTATAAGAAGCTCACACACACACGTGTATGTTGCGCTTAGCCTATGTGTCTAACTACTACGCACGTGTGTACATATAATCGTATAAATACATGAATATCTTAATTATGTGTATATATATAATAGTTAGCTCTGAAACGCATATTCCTCTTTATCATCTATCATCTGTCTCTCACCGTCTTTTTTATTTCGTCTTCCTCATCTTTCTCCTCTCCGAACCTCTCTAAGGTCTCTCTCTCTATCTTCTTTTATAACTTAAGTTTAATTCCGAAATGCAGTTTCCTTTTTTTTTGATGAATTACTTAATTGATTATTTTTGTCTATAAATTTGATTTGATCAGAACGAAGAGGTTCGAAAGAAATGGCGACGGATTACAACAGAGCCGATGATTTCTTATTTTCTCAGCAACAGCAAGAGGTAAATTTTTCTCTATTTTAATCGGCGATTTATTTAATGATTTTTCATTCTAATTTCTTGAATATTTTTTTTAAAAGTTTTTTTAAAAGCCATGGTGGTGCAATGTTTTATTTTTTTGGGTTTAATGTGAAGATTTTTAGGTAATTATTTTATTTAAGGCAGATATATATATTAGCGTTTTCGATGGTTTGATCTATGGGTAAAAAATGAATATTCGAAATAATTCTAAAGATGGTATTGAATCTTGGGTATCAAATATTTATTCCATTTTTTTCTTTCAAGTTTTAAGAAAAGTTTTGACTAGAAGAAAATCTGATAATTGTGTAAGTTTAAGGTCGGATTAGTAAGTAAGTAAGTAGTCAACAAGTCAAAACATTTATTTGGTAAATTACCACAAACCTAATCGTCGGCAATTTTAACGACGGCGTACACGTTTCTTTCTCATATCTTTCTTCTACATTTCAAACATTAAGTTTATTTTAATTTGTTTCACATTTTCTTAGTCAAAATTAAAAATAAATTACGTTTTCCGACATTTTGCTAAGTCATCAAATTAATGGTTGAATATTTTTAATTTGTCGGGTGCGAAGATATTTCTGGTAGGAATATATATAGTTTTTTTCCTTTTAACATAAAAATCTTATGATAAGATATTTTAGTGAAACGGACGGTCGTAAACGATAAACTCATCTTTCACTTTGGATATCGACGGTTTGTTGAGCCGCCACGTGTTAAACCTTTGATGACACTTGTTCTCCAACCGGTTTGATCCGGTCCACATTAAAAATTGCTGATTTCGTTTTGCTTTACATTTTTTTCCTACATAATTTGATTTCTGTCCGATTGTGATCGGTACAATTAACCTCTTTAACAATCTGAATAATTATTATTTTATGACATTAAAACCCTTTTTGTTAACCAATTCGGTATGAAATTGCTTTCCGGTTTAGAAATTGTCGGTAGGCGTTACATGAAATGAAACAAAGATGATCATTCTCTTTTTGCATCTCTTTAAAATAAAGCTATTTTTTAATTACGGTTTTGATTTGTTTTGTTGTTGTCATTAGTCTACGGCTGGTGCAAATAAATACGGAGGACTTGTGCCAAAGAAAAAGCCTCTTATCTCTAAGGTGAATCTCATTGTCATCTTTAACTTTTTTAAGTAACCCTCTTTTTCATATATACGTATGATCTTAGTTATTAATTAGTATGATTTAACAAACTTTTAAAATCAATGCAGGATTACAAACGTGCTTTCTTTGATTCAGCAGATTGGGCTTTACACAAGGTATAAATCTTTATATATCAAAACTTTGACATATGGAAAGCATTATTAGTGTAATTTTTTAAAACCTAAACAATTGAAATATATATCCACAGCAAGAAGCAAGTATAGATGAGAGAACAATAGCGGCAATAGAAAACCTAAGACCCAAATTGCAGGTAAATCTATTTAGACTAGTAATTGCATGTTGATTAATACTCTTGAGTTATTCACAGTATGTTTTGTTTTCGTTGTATTTTTATTTTTCAGAGAACGCCTCGCAAGAAACTTCCCCCTAGAAGACCTACCTGTGCAACTGGACATGATAATTTGGTGAGAAAATACATAAGTTGATTCAATTACTCTGTTTACTAAGACTAATGAGATTATTTTTTTCTCCTTCATATTATGTTAATTCGATTTATTTTTTAACAAATATTTATAGAAATTTTTTTTTGTTATAATATTTGCAGACAGAGTCGAGCTTTTAGGGGTACAAGGAAAAGGGATTGACGTGGAAATGGAACGTGATTGGTTTGGTAGTGAGCCTACTCACGTGTTTCATGTTTCCATTTAAAACTTGTATGCACAGTTTGTTCGGTTTTGGTTTTTCCCCCTTGGTTCACAAAATGCTTGTCGTTTCAATAAAATCGCCCAGACACTTGTTGCTGTTTCTTTCTTTTCTTGTTTTGCTCCATTCCATCTTGTGGTAAATTTAGTTTCATAAAATTGCTCCATTCATAAATTAGCTATTCAGTAAATTACTCTTTGATGCTCACATGATATCCGTCTGCTTAATGGAAGAGGATCTCAAGCGAGTTAGAGAACCAGATCATGATGATTGGTTAGAGACAGTGAGACCGATCAGAGGGACTAGACTTCATATCTCGAAAGGACAAAGGCCGTTCTCTAGCATCTTGCCCAATAATGATGTCGGAGATTTAAGGGTTCCGAGGAACAATGAAAGAGAAGGCACATAATAAGGCATTTCTCGGACTATTTCTTCGTATAAGGAGGAGATGAATATCTACATTGAAGAGAATGATCCTGAAGTTGCCTGAAACATATCTTGGAGATGTTGGAACAGTACAGCAAGCTATCGAGTTGTAATATCAAGCTCATTGGATAAGAAGGGGACTGCTAAATGAAGTCTAGTAAGAAGAACACACAATTCCTCATTAGTTTTAGCCAAAGTCCCCTATAGGCTTTCCCTTTGGTTCGTTTGTTTATTTATTTTGCTCAAAAACCCAATAGTTGTGATTTTATCGAGAGAGTTGTAACCCATGTATACACAGAATCTGATCAGTTGGTCACTTGTCCAAAGTCTAAAACCACATCAACTCATGCCAAGAAAGCATATACAAATCATTCCATTGAATTAAATTCCAATTATACCCCTAAGACTCTGATTTTTAAGTATGTAATTTGGTTTGGTAATCATGTCGACATTGTTTCCTTAAAACGACAGAGTTTTCAAGTCCTGTCCGACTCTTACGTTTCCTTAGCCAGCGCCATTGATCTGTGCGATTTGAAATCGGAAACTCGGATACGGTGAGATGAAGATTGATCTGAATAAAGTGGCTCGTAAGATCGAGGTGGATAATCGTATCCCTCTCCGTAACTACTACCGCATCGCCGATAATCTCCTCCGACAGGTCTGTTTCCGATATCGCAACGGGGATTCGAATCTCAACCTCAATTCACATAAACTGTTTCTAGTATTTGAATTCGCGCTGCTAGTTTAGGAAGTGGTGGAACAGTGATCGATTTGTTAGGTTAGGGGTGTTTGAGAGTTCAATTTATCAATTAGATTTTTTTTTCAAGTTTATTGGAACAGTGTTCGATTTCTAGTTTCCGTAGTAAACCTAATCAGCTACTTCCAATTGTGTGATTAGCTGCTTTGTAATAAAGGAGTTGATTCATGGCCTGTTGCCTGGTTTTTGATGGTTTTATTTTCTGAGTAGCTTTAAGCATAATCAGTTTTAACTTATCACAAAATCAAATAGTAACATGTTTTGAACAATGCTCAGGCCAGCATATATCGCGACGAGAAGAATGTCGTAGATTTGTATATCATGCTTCTTAGATATTCAAGGTGAGGAGATTTTTGTGTATAACTACTAAAAGTAGTCATTTGAGAATTATGTATTTTCCAAGGAAGAGCTACAAGTTTTTGATCTTTTGCTCTGCAGTTTGATTTCTGAAACCATTCCTTTCCATCGAGATTACCAGGCATCGCTTCCACAAGAAAGACTTGGGAGTAGGAAGGTCAGGTATTTCTGTTTTATCCTTCAAAATGTTGTTTGGTTGTTACCATACATAATAGTGTCCTCAGCTGTGGTTTTCTTTGTACAACAGAGGTTGCGTGCTGTAATCAATGAGCTCGAGTCTCTGAAACCCGAATTCAACCGGCTTGTAGATAAGCTAAACAGAGCTGAGGAGGAATCTCACAGGGTTGGAAATGACCTCCCAGTTGTATCATATAGTTCAGATGCTGTTGAATGGCCTCCTGCCCACAAAGCTTCATCATACTCCAGTCATGATATCAACAAGGTCTAAGACTTGGCATTTGCATCTTGATAATCCATGTTCCCAAAACTTCAAATCCTTGTGCCTTCTTACCAGCGTTTCCTTTATTTCTCTTTCTTCCCTGGATACAGGCAGCCTTATCGACATCACAACCATCCTGGACGTATAACAATAATATAACTTCATCTTCAAATCGTACACCAATTGATCAGCAATTCCAGAAGCTGTGAGTCTTTCCCCTTGGTATAATTGTCAGTCATTCTCTTTAATAGAAAGTCAACACCATATGTTCCCTGAGCATTTGGAAATCCTGAGAAATAGGGATACTCAATCCCATATACGTCATTGGTTTACTTGCTTTACCTCTGTCTGTTTCTGTGATAACCAGAAAAATTGCCATTCTAATGGACTAAACTGGCAATGCTACTTTGCTTTTCTGTTTATGGTATCATGTATCAAGATAGTTGTTGTTATCGTTTTGTATAATATATCTTTAGTTTCAAACTCTTTAATTGTGCTCTCCTGTACCTGCAGATCATTTGATTTTCTGCCTCCGAACCAAGCAACCTTGTCTAGACATTCATTTTTAGGTCCAAATGGTCTTAAAAGTCAGTGGGTTGCACCCACGTCGGAGATAAAGGTAACAGTTTCTGATCATTGTTATTGTTCCCACATTTTCTCACTCTTTCTTTTTCTTCTTGGTCCAATCCAGTGTCAAGTCTTTTTAGATCTGAAGGAGCTGAGATAATATCTATTTGTATGGAATGACAGGTTCAGTATCCGAATAATACCGATTGGGGTTCTGCTGAAAATTCAGGGTAAGTACTTATCATATGTTGCCTTTTGAAGAGTATTTTTTTGGAATGGCTATTTTTAACTTACTCCATGGGTTTCTACAGTTTGATTGAAGCTGCACCGAGTGGTTCCTCAACATCACTTAATGGTGATTCTCAAGAGGTTGCAACGCTGAACTCTGTGCTCTCCTTAGATGATGGTCGATGGCAGCGTCATTCTGAGGCAATAAATTCCCAATTTATTAGTGACGCGACTGAAGACCCCTTTCAGTTTGTTGGTATGAGGCAACCTTCCCCTCCTCCTGTGCTTGCCCAAGTGCATCAAGAGCGAGCCCAAATTTGCCCATCTAAAGTTGCTGATCCTAGACCAGGACCTGCAATTTCTGCTCTAGAAGGAAAAGAGGGCAGTAATACTTATCAGCATTTGCATGTTGTAAGTGCCAGCTATCTCTTCTTTTACTTTGTGCAATTCCCATCCATTCCATAGTGTTTGTGAGCGTTATAGAAAATCTGGGACGACAGTCCATGATTATTCTCACTCGGTATGTGTTCAAGAATCAACACATTGATAACCATGAAGTATTGCATGGGATATTTGAGTAGCAGTATGTTGAAAAATGTGCTTTATATCTACGTCTTAGGTTTATGTCCATTACATCTTATATTCTTATTAAAGCTTGCTAGAATTGGTGCTGGAAATCTTTCTCTTTTTCATCTTTTTTACTAATGTTGTCTTCCTCTATTTTAATTTGCTGAAGCCGGTGCGGATAATGGATGATTTCCTAAGGCTAGCTCGGTCAAATACAGAAAGGAACTTAGAAACTTGTGGAATACTTGCTGGCTCTCTGGTACGTAGATGAAACCTTTTCCTTTTAGCTGAAATCATCTTGCCGTCACTTATATTCTGTTTATATTTCCCTTTTTGCAGAAAAACAGGGTTTTTCATATCACTACTCTCATAATCCCAAAGCAGGAGTCCACCTCTGATTCCGTATGGTCTTCATTTTTCTTAACCATTAGATAACGATCTTTTAAATTCTCCCTGGGATTCTTCTCACACATAGTCCATTTTCTTTTGTTATTATCAGTGCCAAACACTAAACGAAGAAGAAATTTTCGAAGTACAGGACAGACTCTCTCTATTTCCCTTGGGTTGGATTCATGTAAGTTCTCTCAGCTTCATCGACTATCTCTCTGTTTTCCTTCATGCTTACAGTTTTCATGATAAGAACTAAAAGATCTTCCATGTCTAGTTTTATTCCTAAATGGTGACTTACCAAAAAGCTAGTGGAACAATTCTGAATCCATATTTATCCACTAGTTGATAAGCTTATCGATTCTTCTGGCTAATTACTTTTTGGTTTCAGACACACCCTACTCAAACTTGCTTCATGTCATCGGTTGATCTTCATACACACTATTCCTATCAGGTACAAATTTCCCATTTTTTCGTTCTTCTTATGTTAATCAATCACGTAAGATGCGATTATTCTCGGACCATTATGTACATCTATTTACCATATGGTCTATGTTCCAGATAATGTTACCAGAAGCAGTTGCAATTGTAATGGCTCCAACAGACGAATCAACACCTCACGGGATATTCCATCTCTCAGATCCATCAGGCGTATCCGTGATCCGTAACTGCCAACAACGAGGTTTCCACCCACACGAAGAATCAGAAGACGGTAATCCAATCTACGAGCATTGCTCACACGTCTTCCTCAACGCCAAGCTCAAATACGAAGTCCTTGACCTCCGCTAAAACCAGGCCAACACCATGTTTTATTTTTCCTTGACAATCTTAATATAAAAGACCTCAGAGATCAGATGTCTTGGCGGTACATATATATATATGTGTAGTATCTTCTCAAAACTTGGCTGAGCCTTCTTGAAGTGAAGATGATTGTGTTTATCTAAAAAACGAATATACGCTTTTAAATTCGTATGTACAATTTCACAAAGCCAAATTTGCCAAAAATGTAATTACTTATTAGGGAAATTACTGTTAACAAGTCAACTTAAGTATATTTCTGGTCTCTCTCTCTGTAACGAATCTAAAAATTTCTATAAGATTTTACCAAAATGTTTTTATAACCGAAGGAAACTAACTTCCCCTCTACTTCGTCTAGGGTTTATCCTCTATCTATCCGCCGATTGCTATACATACACTTTTTGAGTATATATATAGTTTCCACTCGACTTGGCTTCTTCATTTCAGTGACTTTCATCCACCGTCACGAAGCAAGTAAGAAGAGGAGAGGTTAGCAGTAGCCACCATGTCTTTGAGACCTAACGCTAAGACTGAGGTTCGCCGGAACCGCTACAAAGTGGCGGTTGATGCTGATGAAGGACGGCGGAGGAGAGAGGACAACATGGTTGAGATCCGTAAGAGTAAGCGTGAAGAAAGCTTACAGAAGAAGCGTCGCGAAGGTCTTCAAGCTAATCAGCTTCCTCAATTCGCTCCTTCTTCTGTTCCTGCTTCATCAACTGTTGAGAAGAAGGTACAGTTTTGTAGGGATCTGGATTCCGATTTTTGAGGATTTGTTACTGTCTTCTCTCTGTTTATATAACTAATTAGATCGATTTTGATTTTGATTTTGGTTTTGGCTAGTTGGAGAGCTTGCCTTCTATGATTGCTGGTGTTTTGTCTGATGATAGAAGCTTACAGCTCGAAGCGACTACTCAGTTCAGGAAATTGCTTTCTATTGGTAATTTTTTGCTATATTTGCATGGGGTTTTTTTGAGTTTTGTATTCGATTCGGCAATTTCTTGAAATGAATCAATGGTTTTAAAATTTGGCAGAGCGTAGTCCTCCAATTGAAGAGGTTATTGATGCTGGTGTTGTGCCTCGCTTTGTGGAGTTTCTCACGAGGGAGGATTATCCACAGCTTCAGGTTTGGGGGGATCCGTTTTGTATTTGTCTGTCATATTTGATAGAAATTATCATCTGATACTAAATTCTCTCTGTGTGTGTGGGGTTTCAGTTTGAGGCCGCTTGGGCATTGACAAACATTGCTTCTGGGACTTCAGAGAATACAAAGGTGGTCATTGAACATGGTGCTGTTCCTATTTTTGTCCAACTGTTGGCTTCTCAAAGTGATGATGTCCGTGAGCAGGTAAGATATGTGTCTTATGGAATTTGCTCATGATGAAGTATCTGGGCAACTTTTTTTTTTTTTTTGGGAGCGTTCTGAAGTTTATTTTCTTGATCTGTTATGTGTAAGGCTGTTTGGGCATTAGGGAATGTTGCTGGTGATTCTCCACGGTGCAGAGATCTTGTCCTTGGTCAGGGAGCTTTGATACCATTGCTCTCTCAGTTGAATGAGCATGCTAAACTCTCCATGCTAAGAAATGCTACTTGGACCCTCTCAAACTTCTGCAGGGGAAAGCCACAACCTCCCTTTGACCAGGTTTATCTCTCATTCTACTCTTAATCTCTTCCCAATGATCAAGGTATATTTCTTTTTAATATCTGTGGTCTCTTAATAACAGGTCCGTCCAGCACTTCCAGCCCTTGAACGCCTGATTCATTCGACTGATGAGGAAGTGTTAACTGATGCGTGCTGGGCTCTCTCTTACCTTTCTGATGGCACAAATGACAAGATCCAATCTGTCATTGAGGCAGGCGTTGTTCCTCGACTCGTTGAACTTCTCCAGTGAGTTTCAAGCCCCATGAGTTTATTGTGCGTTTTTTTATAATGAATCGTATTCTTATGTGTTAATGAATATCGTCAAATTTTATTCTGTTCTAGGCATCCATCACCGTCTGTGCTTATTCCTGCGCTTCGTAGTATCGGTAACATTGTCACTGGAGATGATCTACAAACACAGGTATTTATGTTCTTTTACAGTGTCATTCATATTATCCAGCATACATAGTTCAATGTTGATGGAAAAATGAAACACTCAATGGCTTAGAAAGCTGAATCTGATTGTTGATAATGTCATTTGGTTGTCAAAGTTATTATGTAGCTTCTGATGAAATTTGATTCCTTGCAAATATTAGGAGATATCTGGAATGTAATTTGCCGTTTTTTCCTAGATTTTGTTTTCCCTAGTATTCTGCATATTTCTTACCCTAGTTATGTTTATAATGCCTAATGGCCCTTTTTAGTAGTTATAGAATATAGACTAATTAAGGCAATCCTCCTCTAGATGTAAAATGCTCTCAGCAATCTCAAACATTTAGCATTTATCAGTTATATCTCTTTCTTCTTCTGTTGGTTTTGAGCTGATGATTTTTTTTTCTTGCAGTGTGTAATTAGTCATGGTGCACTCCTTAGCCTTTTAAGCCTTCTGACTCACAATCATAAGAAGAGCATTAAAAAGGAAGCTTGCTGGACAATCTCAAATATCACTGCTGGAAACAGGGACCAAATTCAGGTTATCTTTTCTGAAAATTGTTGTTTCTGTTCAGCTTATCAGTTTCTCGTACACTTATGTTCGATCACATGTTTCAGAAGCCTTCTGCTGTTTGAAGAAAGATGTTAGGTCTGTTTTATGTTCTCTAAATATTCTTTTGGTAATACAGGCTGTGTGTGAAGCTGGCTTGATTTGCCCTCTCGTCAATTTGCTTCAAAATGCTGAGTTTGATATAAAGAAAGAAGCTGCATGGGCAGTATCAAATGCCACTTCGGGCGGTTCTCCTGACCAAATCAAGTAAGATTATCAGATACCAGGCCCATTGTCTGTTGAACGAATAACCACCTTTGAAGTCTTTTCTTACTCTCTTTCCAAACAGTCAGTTAAATTCTTCCCTTGCCTGTTTTAGGTACATGGTGGAACAGGGAGTCGTGAAACCACTGTGTGACCTTTTGGTGTGCCCTGATCCAAGGATTATCACTGTGTGTCTGGAAGGATTGGAGAACATACTGAAAGTTGGGGAGGCTGAAAAGGTCACAGGAAATACCGGGGATGTAAACTTTTATGCACAGTTGATCGATGATGCTGAGGGATTAGAAAAGATTGAGAATCTGCAGAGTCATGACAACAGCGAAATCTATGAGAAGGCAGTGAAGATTCTTGAAACATACTGGTTGGAAGAGGAGGATGAAACTTTACCACCAGGAGCATCTGCACAAGGCTTCCAGTTTGGAGGTACTGATGGAGCTATACCGCCAGGTGGATTCAACTTCAAGTGAAGGTAAAAAAATAAAAAACTCATATAACTTGGGAACTAATTTGTCCTGTCCAGATGTCTAGAGCATTGGAAGCGTAGACTATAGGAAGCCAGAGTAAATCTGTGGATTTGTGTCTTGCTTGTGTAAAAGTGTGAGTCTGGTTTTGTTTGAACAGGAGCTGAGCATGGTGAGTCTGAAGAGTCGAAGCAGCTTATTAAAGAGTTTGGGGGGGCACTGGTTAGAAAGGGTCTGATTAGAGAGTCTCTGGTCTTCTGTGTAAAAGTCAGATGGGGTGCCTTAGTCCGGCCTGGTCTGGTCCGGTCAGTGGTTGGTGGGTTTGAGTCATGAAATAAGCTTGTTGTGGGTGGGGAGTTGGGTAGGAGTCATCAAGGGTTTATTTTTATAAGGGGAAAATTTGGGAGAAGGCTTTATAAAAAGTTTTCAAAAATGTGTGATGAGAATGTGTCTCTCTCTCTCTCTCTCTCTCTCTCTCTGGGGTTTTGTTACATTTGTACTACACAACACTGCAAAGTCAAACATAAAAAAGTTGGTCAAACTTCATTTTGGTATTATTGTTTCCCATAAAAAGGCCCAATTGGTTCGTATCTTTTATTGTTTTATAGTATTTGTTTTTTAATCTGTTTGAGTGCGGTCCAATTCATTTTTGGGCTATTTTGTCTACACACGCACGCGTATCTATATTAAACATATGTCCATAAATCGATGTTATTAATGGTTATCGTCAACTTCAAGTAGGGTTTCAAATATTTTAAAAAAAATCTTATGTTTTGTGCAAGCAAACCCTGTCGTTATAGGTGCCTAGGTCGTATTTATAAATTTAACAAAATATTTAATATAACATAAACTATAATTCACATAGTTCTTGATAAATTGTGATAAGCTACTCAAAATATCTAAAAGACAGCGAGTAAAAAAAAAATGCATGCATCGCTAATCTCTCTAATAAGCCCAGTTTAAGAAACTCAACGTGGCATACAGTTGAACTACCATAACAAAAGAAGCAATTCAAGAAAAAAATTTGTGCGCCAGCTTTTGAAAAAAATTCAAATTTGGTACCAAAGCAAGAAGATACCATTAAAAACCAACTTGGATTGTTTTGTTACTCATTTTATTACAAAGCTGTAAAAAAATATTTCCCTCTTCTTTTTGTTTCGGTTTGTGATTGTTTGGCGGGTGGTGAGAGTGTAATAAAAAGCCCCGCCCGAGGATAAAAAAGTAAATAAGAAATAGAAATCTAGGGTTTTTTAGTCCCCGCCTCCTCCTTTATTATAAAATCCCTCTCCGTTTGTTTCATCCGTTACTCCTCTGCGGCGTCTCCCTCTCTCTCTCTCTTCCTTATCATCTTCACTCTTTCTCTGTCTCTCACACTTCACACGGAGCCATTCAACCAGAACGAAGAGGTCTCTGATCACTTCTCTGCCATTTCTACTTTAGCTTAAGCTAAGAGAGTGTTATCTTATTCTCAACCTTTGGGTTTTCTCATCGAAGTGGATCAATGTGAGTATCTTTGATCATTTTGATCCTTCTTTCTTTACTTTTGTAGGTGTTGATCACGGTTATTAAACTTGTCTGTTTTGTGTTTTTGTAGATGTCTGAAGAAACAAAGACGAAGCTCGAATCGGCGGGAGATTTGTCTGATGTAGACAACGGGAACTGTAGTAGCAGTGGAAGTGGAGGTGATACGAAGAAGACATGCGTTGATTGCGGAACTAGCAGGACTCCTCTTTGGCGTGGTGGACCTGCTGGCCCTAAAGTAAGGATATGATCATGATTCTCTGTTTTTCAAAACCCTAAAAATCGAATCTTTTTAAGGTCCTTCTGGGTTAGATCTAGTCAAATGGTACTATTAAATGTGGTTTGATCTTTTGTTTTAGCTCTGTCGCTACTGGGTTTTGCAGCATTCATGTGATCATGTGGTAAAAATTGTCTAGTTAGTGAGGATTGAGTTAGTCTGGTTAGTACTGAATACTTATGATCATAGAAGAGGAACACATCTAGTTGACATATGTTTTGTTTTGATTCTGTGTTTGGAGTCTTATTATGTGACCAGTTTGAGAAGAGCTTTATTGTAAAACATTTAGTACAGGTTAAGATTTTGTGTTTATGATGGTGCCCTTGTAACGAAGAGATGCTTGAATGTTCCTAAACATGTCTCTTTCATTTAGATCTGCTTATTCTCTGGTCTGATCATGGTCTTTTTTTTTTGCAGTCATTGTGCAACGCCTGTGGGATCAAAAGCAGGAAGAAGAGACAAGCAGCTCTTGGAATCAGACAAGAAGATAACAAGATCAAGAACAAAACTAGTAGTAACAATCTCAATCTTGAGAATCGAAATGTCAAGATCGGTAAAGCTGAAGCAGGAAATGTCAAGAACAGGATCATCAAAACAGATTCTGAGAGTTACAGTAACACCAACAACAACAACAGCAAGAAGAATGTGAAAAGGGTTAGTAGATTTTTGGATTTAGGGTTTAAAGTACCGGCGATGAAGAGATCGGCGGTGGAGAAGAAGAGGCTATGGAGGAAACTTGGGGAAGAGGAACGAGCAGCAGTACTTCTCATGACTCTTTCTTGTGGTTGAGATCAGTTTCTTAACACTCCTTTTTTTTGTCTGAATGGTTTGAGAGATGAGGTTTAGGGAAAATAAGTTAGTAGAGAAATGATGAAGAGAGGTTTAATTAATATCCTAATTGTCATAAGATATAAGTATATGTAATTCAGTCGAAATTGTTTTTAGGCAAAGCTAATGTTATAAATGCGATATTACTATTATAATTATTCGTTTAAACTCTGGTTTTATTTGATTACTGATATTTTTCTATCTCTCTTTCTTGCATACAGTCTTTTCTTAAAGTACCTTAAAATGTCGTTATAATAGGATCTTTTTTTTTTTTGTCAACACATTAATAAGGATGTTTTTGTCACTAACAGTAATTTGTTTAAAGAAAATTATCATGATTTTTGATTAGAAATGGAACAATAATGTGAACATAAAAAAAAAGATGGTAACCCTTTTGTCCAAAATAAATTACAGCTGGTCACGCGATCTAGAAGCGCGTGATATCAGAATGAGACAGCTATAAAACAGCTCATGGATTTTTGGGGTTTTCGTTAAATGAATAAAATATATAAAATCAGTTTTGATAATTTTATATAAACCTAAAAAAATATTTAAAAAGAGTCGGTGATTGAGACAATTGGGGTCTCTCTTCTCATTTTCTTTGCGATTCTTTTTTCGATTTCTGTGTCCCACTATTTATTTATTTTTACATTTACAAATACAGTATTAAAAAAGTTTTGTAAAACATTTTTCTAGCTCCCAAAACTCTAATATTTATATAATTTTTATGTTTCTCTAATTGTGTCGTCTTATGTGAGTAGTATCAAGTATGGTTAAAATATGCGGCTGACAAATTTGATGATAGCGAAGAGACGTTAACAAACAACTATCAACTAGAGGATTCTCTGTGTAACACTTGCATGCAAGTAGACCACCTATGTGAACATGTTTGAAAGACTACAATGTTGTAAGATTGTTGAATCCACTAATCCCATGCATGTGTTCACAAGATGATGTTATGAGTTTTGACAATTAGTTTGATAGAGATTAAAGGTTTTGTCCTGAAGGATTGCACAATTTTCCTTTTGATCAGAAAAGCAACGAACCAAGAGTTTTAGTGAATCTACGTAAAAGACGTTGATGCTAGTGTTTACTAAGCTAAGAAAAGAAGCCAACTTAAATGAAAAAACCAATCAAAACTATAATTGCTTGGCCAAGTAAGGGAATGTGGGTTTTCTTGGAACAACTTGAGCATGTGTATTGTCTGTTCTGATGATGCATGCTAGCTTGGAAGACTCTTGTACAACTAGAAGCTCTTCAAGTGGGTGTCTTCAAGTACATTATTAGTGGGTGTCTTCAAGTACATTATTAGTGGGTGTCTAATAATAAAAGAAAGAACAAACAAAAAACATCTCTCAGTTTTGTATAAAGAAACAGATTAAGATGGGGAGATAGCAACAAAAACAAAGTATTATGTTTTTTTTTTTTTTCCATAGATGATAGTAACACGTTTAATTAATTGTTTTAATCGGTAATCACCAAATTTTCGTTGTCGGAATATATGTTACACTGGTTTTAACATTAAAAAACAAACATAATCAATTCTTGTCGTAAAACTGAAACATCAACTTAACAACATAGGATACTCTCATCGAGCGTGTAGGCCCAAAAGCACTTATATCAGTTTTGGGCTTTTCCCAATATCAAAGAAGGAAGTAGGGCCTGATAAATAGCCTCGAGTGAGTTTATTCACACACTAAAGTCACACTTACTCATTTCCTCTCTGTGTGTGGCTCATGATCCTCCTCTGCATCATATCTTCAAAGTTTGGTTTTGGTCTTTATAGTCATCAAGTTCATGTGGTTTTATTTATAAGAAACGATGCTTTTTATATTGTCCTTCTAACCAAACTCATATTGCGTCAACTAGTTTTGTTTGAGATTTGGAATATCGCGAGTACAGTAAAGTAACTAATATTAAAAAGAGTTAATCCATTCATTAATACACAAAATTTGTTGAAAGATATTAAAAAGGTAGTACAAATTTATTATTATTATTTCTCTACTTGTGCAAAGCAAAAAAAAAAAACTAGTAGTAAAAATACAGAAGAAACAATAATTTCATCGTTTCAATACGTTGTAGTGTGAAGATCTCTCTATCTCTCTCATGCATAATAAGTCTTCTCTTCTCTGCAAAGGATCTGAGGAAAAATATTTGTGACAAATTAACCTGTATAGGGTTAATATATATAATATATAAAGCTACTTCTTCCCTCTACATATCATCATCGATCTTCTTTAAATAATTTATTATAACAGAAAGTAAGATAAGATTAAGACAAAAGTGATGAATCCGTAAGCGAATCCGTTTCTTGCATCGGATCCGGACATGATAGGTTGCGGCGGAGGGTTGTAGTAGTAAAACGGGAAGTAGGGAACGATAGGGTTCGGAGGAGGAGTGAAAGGGTAGTTTCCTCCGCTTTTAGGAGGTGGATAGACGTAGCCACCGCCTGAGGAAGATGGTGGTGGACGGTAAGAGCCAGATTGAGAAGGAGGTGGGTAGTAGTAGTATGGACCACCACCACCGCTGGAGCTAGGAGGTGGAGGACAGGCAGTGGTAGTGGGGGATGGAGGCGGCGGAGATGGATTTGACGGAGGAGGAGGAGGAGGAGAAGAAGGGTTAGGTTGACAAGGGTTGTCGCAAGAAGTGCACATTGTACAGTCTACGATCTGAGATGGTGACGTGAGTGAAGTAGTAGTGAATGCGAAGAAGAGGAAGAGCAAAAGATGGAATGTTCGGAAAGTTTCCATTGTCGGATGAATCTGGAGTTTGTGTCTGGTGAGAGAATCTGAGATATAAGTGAAATTTGAGGAAAGAAGAAGGGAAGAGAGGGGGAAGAAGAGGACAAAGAAGTGTGAAGTGAAGGCACAAGTGTTTGGTGTGACTCTCTCTTTAGAGTGATTCAAGTGGAACGTGTTAGATTGTGTCCTTTACACTATCTTTTATTTCTCACCATTTGTACAGAAAAAAACTTTATAAAATAGATACGTCATTTTTAAGAATTATATATGTATATGTAAATATATATATATATATATATACAAAATCACATGTAGTATTTGGTTGTTAATTTTTTTGTATGGTTGGTTACTAAAATTGAACATAGCCATTCATATTTATTATACATATACGTATGATGATGAAGAAACGAGGTGAGTGGTGAGAGGGATGCACGTGGAGAAATAAAGACGGTTGGATTGGATGGAAAGAAGAAGCGAAGCTCTCATAGGATCCGATGAGAACGCGAGAGAGCACGTGCATTGTCCATGTCGGCTCGTTTATCAGTATGTGCGCCTTTTCATATTTGTGCGGATCTCTCTATCCCTATTTAATGGTTTGGTTTGGTTTGATGGTTTCTCTAAAGAAACGAGATTCATTTGTAGCAGTGAGTTATGATTCGCCAGAAACGAAGCTTGTAGAAACGGACTTAATCAAAATCTTACTATTTTGATAATAAATAAACAATGAGAGGCACTGCTTTGCATAGTTGCATCCATCATTTGAAATAGGAATTTATAAAAAAGGAGTATGTAAAAGCAGCAATTAAAGCACATGAGATGAGATGAGATGAACAATAATAAATAAGCTCCTCGGGTAATGTGTGTGTCTGTGATTGATTACTTACCCCGAACCTTCCTTCCTTCGTCCAAGCCCCACCATTCCTCCCACTTGCTTTTGCATTCGTATTTACTACAACTCTTTTCATTTAACTAAGTTTACTAACCAATGCTTACACAAACACACACAGCCCAAGTCTTCAAGATTTTGACTGTATGTATGGAAACAATACACATTTCATATTAACATTAACACTAATAGGTGAAGACTAATTGTTTTCTTTTGCATGACTTTGGTGTATACACATACCATTTATCTAAAGTCTAAACACAAGACAATATTTTCATTATTATCATTACTATCAATTTGAAAGTGGAGACCAACGACCTACTTATTTGTGATATTTTTAATGAAACGTATAACATAAGCATAAATAAATATAGTTTCATTAAAATTAGAGAGAGATACGACGTCGGATCCGGAGGTAACCAAACTTGCCAGCTCCAGGTGACGAACCTTCGAATATCAGTGGCAAATACCCTGTCGCTGCTTTGTATCTCTGCTGAATCTGAACATTCACCACCAACCACACCCATAAGGCCTTTTTTATATATACAACTAAGTTCCTACTCAACTTGGTGGTCGAACCTAGAGTTGGTGTATATAGCATTTTACATACCTCGAGAATTTGTTGGCTGCTGCGCAATGAGTTACGGCCTATGACACAGACTGTTCCACCTGAGCCTCCACCCGTGATTTTGGCTCCATATAAAGTTCCATCATCGGATTTAGACTTGTTGTGCTGCATCCCTTGTACTAACTGCACCAGCCGGTTTGTTCCATCTGATCCTAGTCCGCACGCGCTGTAGCTATAGTGACACTGAACCAAAAAAAAGTATAGCAAAAGAGCATCAACATGTTAAATCCATGATCAGTAAACAAAATCAACAAGTCTTTGGTAATTTTGAAGTATTACCTGATAAAGAAGTCCCCCAAGAGCAGTAAGCTGCTCCTCTGATGTTGCAGAAGTCAATAGGGCTTTAAAAGTCTACAACAAGAAGAATATCACATTCATCTGGGATTATGTAGGCTAGAAGAATAGATATTAACCAACCATAAAAGGATTCAAAAACACAAGATGAGAAGATTTTTTTATCTAGACTGCTATAAATTAAAAGACTGACCTTGACTCGGAAGTTTTCGTATATAGGGTGTCTGGCAGGAGCTCTAACGCTGTAAGACCGCTTTGGATCAATTAATGTGACCGGATCATCATGATCCAAGTATTCCTTAAGGAATGTTTGACCTAGCATGGTATCTGGAAGCTTATCTGCATAACGGGCTTCATATCTGCAACATAACCAGCGGTATGAGGATTAGCGTGAATTACAATATGCTTTTACTTCCAAAATTTTTGCAAGATGAGAAACATGGATGGTTTCAACCACTTCCACTCTCACCTGTGAGGCGACAAGTTGCACAAGTAGTCTAATGAAGCTTCCATCTCAAGTAAGTCAATCCCTTCATCCTCTAGTTCATCCGAGTTGCCTCCATTAGCACTCGACACTGATTGTGACAGAATAGAAGAAGCCATTGACTTTATCATCTTTCTCCCCATGTAGGCACCAACTCTGACTGACCTATAGTCTGCACCTCCAACGCTGCAACATTATTCAAAATAAATGAGATGCATTGAGTAAAGGAGACCAAGTAAGATGTTTATCTAGTGAAGTAAATATGTATTAAGTGAGTGCAGCATTATAGGCATAACAATTGAGAGAAAAACAGAAACGACATTGACAGAGAAAAAATGTTACCTGTGTCGAATTCCGGAATCAATTCCCCAAAATCTGACATGGTTGGGAATCTCAACAAGCCCAACTACTTCTGCAGGCTACATATTTTTTAAGAAAATGGAGTAGATCAGATCTTATTATCTCCAGGAAGAAAAGGAGATATCATATGTGCTACAAACAATCATGATCTTTTACTTTCTAGCTTAGGCGTTACTAAGACCTACTTGGCAGATCATGGCCAACAGTTTGTTGGCTTCCCCACAGGATGAAGTCATCTGATCCATAACACCACATGGAGCTCCAACAATGTGATTCTCCACCTAGCAGGCAAAAAAAGAAAATTAGAAAACCAAAACATTTACAATGTCACGAAAGGAGCTAGTACAATGCTGACATGAAACCTTTTGGCAGAGTATAGCAAGATCTCGCGGATCGATACTCAGTCCTGCATATTTATATAAAAAAAAATTGTTAGAATACACAAAATAAGATGCCTAGAATCAAAATTTCTGTGTTTTTCACCAATGGTCGTGATCATATAATTCTCATTTATGACAACACATTAAAGTGAATTACCATGGGCAGCAGCTATTGCGGACATGCTTGCCACCTCCACAGCAGCAGATGAAGATACACCTTTACCTTCAGGCACAGCAGAAGAAACCTAAGAAAACAAATAATTAGTAACCTACATGTATCACAGATGCATACACCAAGAACTATATGATGGACCATGTCTGGATATTTTAAGAAACTCAAATAAGACTTGTGACAGAATCACAGTTCGTCAGAATTATGACCGAGAGGTGTCACAAATGTGGCCCTCCAAGGGATGTCAAACCAAGGACTGTTAACTTCTTATCCTACAACTGCATTTCTAAATTCTGAAATCATTCCTTTACTGTTTGGATAATGTAAGTCCTAGAACATGTTACACTTAACTATGTATATTAGAACAAAGAATAGGGTAAACAAATTTTACCAACAAAAATTAAAAATCAGAAAGAAACAAAATCGAATCAGGAGGGAATCTGCAGCAGGGGATGATAAATTTTAACAAAAGGATGAAAATATCCGCACCAGCAAACTGAGGCTATCCTCAAAACGCACACCAAGTTCTGTCATCAATACCAAGATTGTGCCGGCAACATATGCTGCCCACCTGGATGATTTTATTACCTTGTTAATAAAGAAACATTATCGTAGTTCAAACAAAAGTGGAAAGACTCACTTTTGTGCAGGATCTTGTGCAAAGAACTTCCTTGCTTTTTCATAAGAAATTGGTTCATCTCCATCCATAAAGTCGGACAAATCCATGTCAAAAGTAGGGGCACGATTGCTGATCTCTGATCCATATGAGACCTAAAACACAAAGATTCAAGGCAATCTCAGCAGGACCACAAGGAAAAATCTTAAGCTAGGACAATCCAATTCTCTATTTAAGCAACCCATAATGTGCATACAGGGACTTCATTCAAATACTCATACTTACAATTTGCAGAACTGGTGTTGGTACTTGTCCCTTAGCTTGCTGTCGGGCTTGCGCATGTTTCCACAGTCTATGTTTTCCAGGATGGTTTCTTTGAACAGCTACATGGCAAGCTTCCCTTATTGGCATCTGAAGTTGTGAGAATATAGATAAAATAACTGTCGTGGTCAATCAAAATAGAGGATACTCTGGCAAGGAGGAATGTATGGGATTTTTTACAATTACTATATAAGACAGAATGATGTTTTGTGAGATAGGATGATGTTTTCTGTGAAGGCTAAGATTAATGCTCAATAAGTTGAACAACTGCAAATGTATTCCTTGGCACTAGATATCAAACGAAAAACAGGATCAGACACAAGTGACCCGCAAAACCAATAGTACAGAACTTTTACCTGCAGGACCAGGCTTCCTGAATAGTCAGCAATTCCACCCATCACATCTAACCTTCCAGGTGCTCTGGCAACAAAGATTTCTTCCTGCAAAAGCGAAAGGTTTCTCAACATAGAACAGCTTAAAACCAGAGTTATAAGAGGCTAACTTAGCCTGATAGCAAAACTGTTCCTTACGAAAGAAGCTTGCACCAATTAAAAGAAATGATGCAACCATCTAACTGCGATTTCCAAAAACACTTACAATAAAACCATCTTTTTTGGCGGCATTGTAAGAATATTTTTGCAAGGCATTAGGCATGAACCCAGGACATTAATATTCTTCTATGTCCTCTTAGTAGAACGCTTATTGGAGCTATAAGAAAAAATATTTTACCTCCCAGTTGAAGAGCCCACCAGCAGCTTTTCGTTCACGCATGGTTTTCTTCTCCATACCCTTTTCAGAATCATGAATATCATCTAGCATGGCTAAGCTCTTAAGAAATGTCCATGTATCTGAAAGACCTTGAACATCACCTTGAAGGATATCAAAATCATCGGTGCACCTGCAAGATAAGTGAAGGGATAAGGAAGAAACACAAAATTAGAAAATAGCCAGAAAAAAACAATACTTACGACTCCACCAACGAATTGTTTTCGTTAGCTTGAACAGTAGGTGATGATTCAGCAGATTGACC